CACACACACTTACACACACACACACACACACACAGAGAGAGAGAGAGAGAGAGAGAGAGAGAGAGAGAGAGAGAGAGAGGGAGAGAGAGAGAGAGAGAGAGAGAGGTGCGTGGTTGTCCACGGGAGTATCGCTGCACCACCCTGCAGTAGTTCATGAAGTTTTCAGACAGAGTGCCGAGGAGGACACGCGTCTTCCCCCGAAAATAACACACCCTGATAATGAATGTACAGTACCAATATATTTCTGGTCAGGTACAGCCAAAATGAGGGGACGTTGTGTTTGGGGGAAGACGCTAGCGGTCGTTTCCATCGCAATCCTCGCCACCCAATTCCCTCGAATAGAAGGCATGGCAAAGGCTTCTTTTTCCTTTTGTGGGAAACGAAACAACCATGTTCGTTATACTGCAATTATGGGCCTCATTCCGTCTCTCCCCAACCGTGCAAAATGGGGCGTGTATCTTACCACGTTCAGCGTCAATGTACACTCACCATGTAGCACATTTCTCTGGTGAGCGGTGGAAACAGCCCCATCACGATGTCCATGATCCCTTTTATTATTATTATTATTATTATTATTATTATTATTATTATATTATATTATTATTATTATTGCTATTATTATTATTATTGCTATTATTATTATTATTATTATTATTATTATTATTATTATTATTATTATATATTATTATTATTATTATTGCTATTATTATTATTATTGCTATTATTATTATTATTATTATTATTATTATTATTATTTTATTATTATTATTAAATATTTAGACCATGATCCCTTTGATTACGGAGAAGACCGTAGCCTCATCAGCAACAACGGGAAAAAAAAAAACAAAAAAAAAAAACAGCGAGTAGTGTCACTCACACAAGCTGCGTGGTGGACGTGCAATAAAAACATCCCGTGTGTACAAGCTTTCCACATTTACTAGTGGTAAAATAAGATGGAAAAGCGGGAAAAAAAAAAAAAAAAAAAACATTATTGGTAAAAGCACAAAAAGACAAACAAGCGGTGGCAGACAACACAACCTTTCCTCGGCTTTCACCGACTCATCAGGAGGCTGAACTCTCTCTCTCTCTGTGTGTGTGTGTGTGTGTGTGTGT